AAATTCAATTATTTATGTAATGCATTTTCTCATGGAATGTCCAGAATTCGACAAACAACGACACGTTATGTTAGATTCTGCTTTAAAAGTATGCATTGTATATACACCAGTTTAAACAAAAAAAACTGGATACAAAGATATATTTCGCTACCTTCATCGTGTTATTATGAAAATTAGGTATCACCGTGGATTTGATTTGTTGATATATTTAACTATTTTACAATCATGACAATATTAAAACAATAGCTATATAGCTCACTTCATATGATAATTGGCTTTATCACTATTTATTGTTTCTATGCGTGTGTTATTGATCATGAATGATCATTATATGTTACATACCTTTCTTAGTCGATGATTGGTTTAATAAAGTATTCGTCAAGAAAATAAACACTTTACACTTTTTTGCTACCTTTATTTGTGATATACGACGGATCATATGAATGACATAGAACAAGTAAAAATATCGGGAGTTCACTTTGTACACTTCACACACAGTGCTTCGATTCTGTGATCAAATAAAATTAAAAAAAAACAGGATATCTTTAATGATAATTCTTTTTTCTTCTTATTATTATTTGAAAAATAAGTCCTGGTAAAAGTCTACAACTGCAATACCATCGAAACCGTTTTCAATTTGACATATTTTGTAGACAGTCTATTGTTGACGACTTTTTGGTTTTTTGTGTTGTTGATTAGCTGTCTCCGTGACGTACAAATGTATCTAACACATCTCCTTTTATTCATATAGTGTATTCGTGTATGGACGCGAGTTTGATATCGTCCTAAAAATCGCGTCATTCGCACAGTACTTTACATTTCGTTTTTATTTTCTTATTATGACATGATTAATATACAAATAAGAAAATGTGGTATGAATTCAAATATTTATAGCATAATCTCGTTGTTGTCATTATCACAAAACATTTCAATCTATGCGACATTGATCTTCAGTTAAGACAATTTTGTTATTTGGAGTTATTGACAAACAATCGCAGTTGACTACTTGTGGCACGTTCGTTCGTTTTCAACAGTATTTCATAACAATCGCTAGACGTTTTCTAAAATGTTTGCCTCATCTGTAAGCCAGAATAATGTTTTGTAGTACATATACATGCATGTTGAAAAAAAAAATAGTAGATTTCTATTAAAATATTAGAAGTTCAAATCAATGATATTCATATTATACGTAAAAAAAAAGATTATTTGGTATATTTCAGGAAAAATTAAAACGACAAACAACTTCATTTTTCACAAATTTAAGTGGATTTTATCATACACACATACTTATGATCAAATAACATGCATACATCTCATGTAACGGTGACATGTAGCTGTTTCCATCCTTGCCCTTTAGTCGTTGATGAATAGCTATATCATTGGCAATCATACAACTTCTCATGATTTTTATGTTGTCTAAATTGTATGACGGATTAGGCTGTTTAATGCATTTACAACTTTTCTATAGGCGAGCAATTTAGAGCTTGGCACATTTTCTATTGTTGAAGGTTAAGTGTATAAGTCCCAGGTATGCTGTTATATTACGTTCCGGTGAATGGATGTAATTGCTGAATACAGCGAGTTACCTTGTTTGCACAAAATTCCCAATACACAATCGTATTATACCACGCCTATGTTTTTGTAAGTTCCGATGTGAATGTACTTTTTGCACCAGTGACAAATATCACAACTTATACGGAGATTTCAAAGTAAAATTAATTTGTTAATGTATTAATAACTTTCAACAAGACTACGCTATTAACGGAATATATTCAAAAATTTCAACATTTTCATAATCAATGATTTTATTTAATACCAAATATTTTTTTTTATAGATACCAATAACAACAATAGGCCATACGGTTGCCTATCAGGTGTATAGTTGTCTAATTGGCAATCATCCAGATCTCCTTATTTCTCTACAGTTTTAATCGTCGGTATTTTTTTAAACCTTAAAGATAAGATGCTTTAATTGGAATGATGTAAACAATGAAAGCTTTCTGTTACTTTTACAGTTGTCTCTCTATCGAAAATTAAATAACGAATACAAAATAAATAAAAAGGAAAGAAAAAAAATAGACAAAGAGAAGAAGTAAATATACAGGAATATGTATTAAATGTGACGCGCAAAAAACCATCAGAAAGAGTAACAGATTTACAAATTTGTTTTAATTCGTTCATTTATATTTTTAATATCTTTCACGTTCTTAAGACGTGCAATAACGACCTTCTGATTCATTTTCTCGTTTTATTTTTAGCAATAATTGTGAGAGACCAAAATTACTTAGACGACGATAGTTTTTATATCACTTATCAACAATCTTTCTTATCTAGAGCTACTGCATTTGGACAAATTAAAACTATATTATTTATCTTTAAATTTTAGCTTTAACTGATTTACTTTTTTGCTGCATTTTAAAAATCTGGCTTTAATAACTATAAGTTACTTAGTTTACATATGTATTTGTCATTTATTCCTTTTAATTGTGAATATCTGTTGGAGGTATATCATCCGACAAAAATCGATAACGTTTGGAACGGATTGACGATAGATAAACGGGGTTGCTTTTCTGCTTGAGTGATTTAACTTACAAAAAGGCGGACACTTTAAAGTTTAAAAGATCTAATACCAGTTTGATTTCGTTTAACAGGGAGGTGGCTATTTAGTTTGACTTAGCTTAACCATATCTTAAAATAAACGTAAACTAAAGGCAACAGTAGTATACCGCTGTTCAATATCAATTTAACTGAAACAAATCCGGGTCACAAACCAAAACCGAGGGAAACACATCAACTATAAGAGAAAAACAGCGGAACAATATAAAGACTGAACTGCTTCTAAAACAAACGCCAACATACATAGAAACGGACTATTTGATAACAACTGCCATATTCCTGACTTGGAACAGAACATTTAAGAAAAAATGGTGGGTTGTACCTAGTTTTATGGCTAGCCAAACCTCCCGCTTAAATAGCAATGTTAAAAATACCGCTAAAATGACAACATTACGTGACAGGAATACATTACCACTAAACCCAAGAACACTCAGGACAGAGACATACAATAATAATATATATACATCACAATATGTAAACCACAGAATAACAACGGTTAATGACTGCAAGGGAATCTATTTGACTGGTATTGAAATGATTTGAAAAGGTTTAAAGTAAATAAAAAAAAAAGGTTTAAATTTTATTCTTATTCAATCTTATTTGATTATTCAGAAATCTTTTTTAAATAGGGTTAATACCTAATCGGCCGATCAATCTAAATTGTGGTTACTAGAATAAGAAATTATTACTTAACAAAGGTTCCAACTCACTGAGGCAAATTGAACTTAAAAGCATTTAAAAATTTATTTAGGTTCTTTTTGTCCTAAATCTCTTAATATGTCTACGTATCTGTGTATCCCTGACTTTATAATGTTCAGGTTTGAGCGTTCTTGAAGAAGATAAATCCATGAATGCGCTAGGAAAGCACGAAATTTTATTTAGGGGCATCATTAAAATGACATTTAACTTTTGGTTAAAATGTCGGAATGATTAATTTTTAATTAACGTCAACACATATGTTTTGGTCGCCATATGTTGCTATGATGATCATTTGTAATTGACTGTATTCATATATGATTAAGTGCATCTTTAGTAGCAATTGGGTAATATCCTCACTGTTCATGATACTGATAACATGTGTAGATGACATATGTTTTATCTTGAACTTGATTTATAAGACATTGATTTGAGGATTGAATGATTCATTCACTCGGATATTTTCTTTTCTTTTGATTACGCAGTTGACATTCTTCATCCTGATTAAACGAATTTGAAGTGGGATTTCCTATATACCTATATCGTCCATCTGTGATTAAAATTCAAGATATAACTCCTTTGAGAAATGATTATTATTTGTTCTTTTATATGACTTAATTTCCATAATTGTCTGTTCTGTTTTCACGTTGCAAGACATTATCAACTCTGTCATCATAGCAATATCGTGATGTCGAACCTATTCGCCTATCATAATGCTGATCATTTTGTTTCTATTACATTGTAATACCCATCATCTGGTGTAAGGAAATAATTTTCATCTGTCTTCGTATAAACTGATCATCTTGCCATCGATGTTATTGCACATCCTGTCTCCGTGAATATTGATCTAATTATCTTCGTGAATTTTGTTCTATGGATATTTTTCTTGTTCTTCTGAATATCAATCTTGTTCTTGAGAATGCAAATCTGAATCCCCAGAATGTTTGTCTTTATTATTTGTATTTTTATATTTTGGATTAAACATCAGAGTCCCTTCCTTGACTTCTTTTATGTCGAAATGATCCTCGATGCTTTTGTGTTTTACTTGTTTGATTCTGAGCCTATACATGCTATACACCTTCATTTCAAAAGTATCTATCCTGTTCTTTAAACATGTATAAGTAAGCCCTATTTTTCATTTGATATGTGTTCATTATGATGATGGTTATCATGTTTAGATTATTTGTTCATGATGATAAAACTGTTAGCTGACGAGGTTCACTAGAATCCATTCTAAATTTTTCAAATAAATACACATCACTAAGTTCATTTTATATAAACTGTAATCTTTGAAAAAAAAACATGGCCATATAATAAATGTAATTCTATAATAATCATTATAATTTCAACAAACTGGTAGCCATAACGTTTCGTCGATGTTATTAATATCAGTCATACACAATTGACTCAAAGAAGGAGCTCGAATCCAAAAATAAGAATCGTGAGTCGAAAAGGGGAAATGTGCTATAAAGAACTTTAAAATCATTTTTGATAAAACATAACCTTGAATCCTGAACACCTTCAATGTTCAAGGTTATGTTTGCCAAGAATAATTATAAAGTTCTTTACCTTTTTTTTCTGTTGTATTAACTAATAGATTGAAATTTTTTCTGACAATCCATTTTCTTTGACGTAATCTAGTAATATATTATGTTTTTTATATTATTACATGTACATATATATCAGGTGAGGTTGCACATATTGTATAGTTGAGTAGAAAATTCCCATACATAGTAAATCGTAGAAGGTAAGTCTGCAGATATACTTAATAGTTGATAATAGTTAAAGACAGTGAATTGATTGCATATCTATTATGTTTATGAAGGTAGAGTCAATACCACTAGTAGACCAATCAAAATCCATCTGAAGGTAATAACGATGATAAAAAAAATAAGATTAATAATAATTATAACAATAATAATAATAACAATAACAAATAATAATATTATACAATTATGCCCCGTTGAAAAGGAGAATATCCCAAAAATTGTCAACCCGGAAAAGGTTATTTCGCTGAGTGCGAGGCCCGAAGATAAACAACTTTTTAGGGTACACAATTTTAGAAATTCATCGCTTCTAAGGGACCAGAATTGTTTTACAATACTGAACTAACATGAGAAGGTCATTTGGAATCATTAATTTTACTTTACAACATGTTTGTGAAGGATAATGAAAGTATAATCATAAAAACATCTATATAAAAAAGAAACCATCAAAGATAACCCGCTTCTAATTTTGTACACCAGACGCCCGCTTCGTTTACAAAAAAAGTAATCAGTGACGCTCGAATTAAAAAGTCAAAAATAGGACGAAGTTGAAATGCATTGAAGAACAAACTTTCCTAAATATTTTACCATTCTTCTTAAATGAATCTACCACTGGGGTAGAAAATCCTTAGTATTTCGGACAATTCCAAGTTTGTAAACAATTAATTTATACAGATGAAATATAGTGCTGACTACTGTTCTTAGTTGAAGAGCTTTGAGGATCAAAAATCTCGACAGGTTTTGCCAAATTCAGATCAGGTTATCTATTCCTTGGGTAGAAGATCATTAGTATTTCGAACAATTAGAAGTTTTGTAAACAGTAAATTTATAAATATGACAAAATAGTATCACTGATAATTCATGTCAACCCAAAAAGTGCTGATTACTGGGTTGGTGAGATCCCCACCAGCAATGGCATCGACTCAGTGTTTTTAAAACAACTAATCAACGATACCAAATTCAGTTTTTATGAAAAGGTTATCAAAAATGATATGAAAAGTTTTTAGTGTTAAGGGCATTGTGTAATTGTCTAACAATGTATCGATAAAGAGTGCATTTAAATGACTGCAGCTAATGAGATTTTATTAACCAGTTTAAAAATCCTCCTCCTCCTCCTCCTACTCCTCCTCCTCCTCCTCCTCATCATCATCATCATCATCATCATCATCATCATCATCATCATCATCATCATCATCATCATCATCATCATCAACTTTTACTGTTACTCGGCTTAACTATGTCGGTAAGCATAATATAGTCCCATGATTGATAACTACAATGTCTATTTAAGCAACCATAATAAGACACAATGAAATACATGGTGATGATGTTGCTTCTACTAATTATTATAACAGGTAAAAACTAATGTCTATTTTCACGAAAAATTCAGTGCCTAACACCAATCAATTATCACTTGTTAGTACTAGTGTATTACAAGATATTGCAATGTAAATACACCTCCAGTCAGTCACACAATAGTTTTTTTTTTTTTTTTCTACAAATCTATTCGCTAAACACTAAATCAATATACTATATATAACATTTGTATGCAGAACATGTGGTACTAAGTAGTTACTGCGATATCCTCGATATTTTTTATACAAGTATTGGACTTAAATCATATGAATGATGGTAAAACGTAAAATAATAAAAATACCGAACTCCAAGAAAAATTCAAAACGGAAAGTCCCTTATCAAATGGCAAAATCAAAAGCTCAAACACATCATACAAATGGGAAACAACTGTCATATTCCTGACTTGGTACAGGCATTTCCTTATGTAGAAAATAGTGGATTAAGCCTGGTTGTATAGCTAGCTAAACCTCTCACTTCTTCTCACTTGTATGACAGTCATAACAAATTCCATTATATTGACAACAATGTGTGAGCAAAACAAACAGACATAATAGGTACAATTTTCAAAAATTGGTGTACAGCAGTCAACATTGGGTTATAATCTTAATCACTATAAAAGCAAATAACTATTTCAACAGAGAAAAACAAATTGGCATAAAGACACTCTAAAGACAAAGTACATATGCAAAAACAAAAGAGAAAAATACAAAAATGACCATAGCACAATAATACAATGACGGGATGTATGAATACCTAGCCACGTCAAAAGTATATACCAAAATTGACTAAACAGTAAAGGTAAAAAATATACAAAGACAAATAAAAAGAGCACTATAACACGTAATTAAGATTATAAACAACGCCAGTACCGAGAATCTATACTGCAAGACAATCATGTATCATTTTGGAATTTGATACGGACAATTTACCAACAAGGTCTTGATATCCTCCGATGAACTTTTTTAGAAAAAGGTGGAGACGTTCTTTGACATAACCCTTGTTCATCAACTTTTTTGCTCAGACACTGATGACGTTTTATAAAGTCTGAGTAGCCTCAAGATCTTGAATACCGAATGAGTTCGGAAATGTATATCCAATATGAAAGTGAAGCTGGTATATTGGTGCTAAGGTGTGAGAAATTTATAATTTCAAAATTAAAATCGTCTCGTTTCACATAGATTCTGGTACTTAGATGACCACTTATGTCAAATTCGAGGTATAAGTCTTAAAATGAAAAAGATGAAACCGTGTGTGTTGTTTCTTTTATTTCTAGTTCTGGGGGATATATTAATGGAACCCAATCAGAAAAGTCTTGATTGTTAATGAAAAGAACATCATCAATATATCTGAATGTGAAATGAAATGATCTTGTTTCTTTGATCTTCTTGTTCTTGATAAGTGTCTCAAAAAACAAATTAGAAAATGCTCCAATGTCTATTAAAGCAGCTTTCTATTTTTCTTCAGAATTTTGATATTTATTAATTTTACTTTTAGATACCGTGTATTCTCAACAGTCTTGTTTTTGTATTGCGCAATATGATCCAGTTTGTTCCACATTTGGTGTGACTTTCAGTAATCGATGTCAATTGGAATGCGCGTAAGTATATTTCCTAAAACGGACAATTGATCATTGTTTCTTATAAAGCCCAATCACAGATTATGTACATTCAATTAAATCAAATTAAGTATTTGTCTCCATGAAACTGTTATTGAGAGACTGTAAAACATGTGAAGCGGTATTATTTACTCATTCATTTGATAAAAAGCTTTAAGCAATTAATCTGACATATAAAACGATTATCCAAGATATTTGTCGTAGTAATAATATAAAACTGCACCAAAAGCACACTTCGTCATAGATGATACATGCCGACATATTTGGAATTAGAAAAACGAAAACACACCTTGAAGAGCTAATATCACTACAAAGGACTATAATTATAGCCAGTCATTGACACTAGTAAGAGTTATGTTTAAGACAGGTACATTTTGTAATTTAAAATCATTTCCTGAATGTCATCACAGCAAAATTCATAAAATAATATCCGTTTTTTCTATCCAGTACCGACGGAATAAAATGTTTAGCTGGTGATCCAATTTTGAACAAGCAGATAAACATGCAGAAGAGGTATTGACCAAGCAATGAAAGTACACAATTTATTATTTACAGCATCCGAAGCGCACTTTTACCAAACGCGTCACTAAGTGATACTCGATGCCAAAATGTTCGGAAATCTAACGCCTATTATACACTTTGCAAAGTTAATTTAATTAAAAGGAGCTAAACTCAGTAAAGACCCGTCTAAATTGCATTTAATTAATAAATTCAACAACATTTACCGTTATCTTGATGATATGTTTTCGTTAAGTAATGACGAATTTTCTAAATGTACTGACAAAATTTACCCAAAGGAACTTACTTAAGGTAATAACTGTCCTTTCACATCGTTGTCAATATAATGGAATTGTATGCGAATGTCATACAAGTGAGAGGTTTAATGAACCATTTTCTTCATAAGAAAATGCCTGTCCCAAGTCAGGAATATGACAGATGTTATCCATTTGTTTGATGTGTTTGAGCATTTTATTTTATCATTTGATTAGGGACTTTCCATTTTGAATTTTCCTTTGAGTTCAGTATTTTTGTAATTTTACTTTTTCCTAGATTTAGATATTCAGTTTTACACAGGGAACTCTACACTGAAATTTACGACAAAAGGAACGATTTTTCCTTTTTTGGACGTTGATGTTCCTTGTGCACCATCTTACGGTGTTTATATATCACAACTCGTTCGCTATGCCCGTGTCTGTTTTGACGTTTTTGATTTCAATGAACGTAAACTATGTATTACTGGTAAATAATTAAGTCAGGAATTTCGTTACCACAAATTACTTAAAACCTTCATGAAATTCTTCCATAGATATTAAGATTTGGCATTGAAGTTTGGTTGTACCTGTAGAAAACTTAGTTCAAGCGGGATAGCAAATCCTAATTTTTACAGACATGTTGTTTACAGAGCCGGGGAATTTAGAAATGTTCCGAGTAAACTTATCGATCCTTCAAATAAACGTATTATAAGAGGTTACCAATTCAACACTGTAATTAGATCTTTGAATATTGTTTTAATTGGTATTAACATTGATTTTGTAATCGGTAAATTAAAATCAAATAAATATTATTTGTATATACATATTCACATTCATGGCTCGATACCTGTATCTTGGCATTGCACAAGGTCATGTTTTTTTTTGCTGACTGTTAATGACGTCTTTACACTTAATCTATTGGATGTTGGATGTATACTGATTGATATTTTAGTCTTAGATGCATGATTTTTTTATTAGTTGTTATTGGCTTTGAACTAACTGTTCGTAACTGCGAGTACCCTCAGATCTGTACTTAGTGTCTTTTTGTTGTGGGGATGAATAAGTACCCTGCCACGTGCACTCTGTGTTTTTGTTAGATGTATTTCTATGAGTATCCATCTGATGAGTTAAGCCTTTTTCAACAGGTTTTTATAGTTTGTTATGTTATACTGTTACACCACTGTCCCATTTTAGGGAGAGGGTTGGCGCCTTCAAACTAGTTTAGCCCCGCCACACTCAATATGTGCCTGTGCCAAGTCAGGAGCCTGTAATTGAGTGGTCGTCATTTGTTGCTGTTTCTCAAATTTGGTTTTCGTTTATTGTTTTGCATAGTTTGTTCTTGTATTGTGCCGTTGCACCACTGTCTCAGGTTAGAGGGAGGGTTTGGCGCCAATAAACTAGTTTAATCCAGCCACATTCTGCATGTGCCTGTCCCATGTCGGAGCTTTTAATTCAGTGGTTGTCGTGTGTTACATATTTGTTTTTCGTTCAATATTTTGTACATAAATTAGACCTTAGTTTTTTCTCGTTTGAATTGTTTTACATTTATCATTTCGGGGACTTTTATAGCTGACTATGCGGTATGGGCTTTGCTGATTGTTGAAGACCGTAAGGTGACTTATAGTTGTTTATTACTGTGTCATGTATTCTCTTGTGGAGAGTTGTCTCATTGGCAATCATACCACGTCGATTTATTTTTATAAACTATAGCGAAACCATGACATTGAATCAGAGGGAAAACACATACGGATGATACTTCCCTTAAGGATGTTCGCTACTCTGTTTCAAAATAACAAGCTTTTTGAAAGACTGTCATAAATTGAAAAGCAGAAACAAATGAAGGGTCCGTGTGCTTGTTTTCGAGATATAAGCCATTGAAAATTTGGCGGAAAATGATTCTCTCTAGAATTTTCATACATTTAACATTGGCACCTTTTTTCCTTCAAAAAACATTGAAAAAATAACAAGGATTTTGTTAGATTTTCAAATATGGCTTTTTAAACTATATGTAATAAAATTATGAAAAGAAAAGTAGGGGTTAGTGGACGAAATTTCTTAATGGAAAATCATGGATAAAACCAGAGGATTCCGAATTTCTGACAAAAAATCAAAAACAAGAGGAGCGAACATCCTTAATTTCAGCATTAAAATAAAAATATCTGTCTGTTCAGGATTTGTAGATTTGATACATTGTAGGGTCTACATAAATTTATGTCTCATTTACGTGTATATATACATAAAATTTAAGGAAAAGTACGTGGCTAATCTCACGGATTTTTACAAAATTTCGCACCCAACTTGAAAAACTGCATTAAATTTTCATTTTCCAACTTGAACTGCATTTGTTTCCCTTGTCCGCCTTGTTTGGCTAATTTTCTTATCAAAAATAGAATTGGAATAGCGATTATTATTCCAGATTTAGTTTTTTGGTTTAAGAATAAATTTTGCCTGTCTAAATCAAATTACGCCAATGGAAAACTACTTAGCAGAACACATTGCACTTTTCACATGCTTGTTCCGAAAAATAAGAACATGTGTTTTACAGCTTAACTCTTAATTGTCGTTCTGCAAGCATTCTTCAGTACACAAAACAATTATATAAAAAAAAACAATGCGTAATTACAATATTGATGTTGCAATTCCTTGAACAAAGTCTACTGCACGTAAAAACCACTTGATCATGTATTGTAATTGTATTTCAGTCGTCAATATTTTGCTTGCTATGGGAGATGTCCATGTTTCTTTAAACGTTCATAAAGCAACGGTACGTAAAATTTATACGAAAAGGAGGTTTTAGAATTGTGATGAATTACATGTTGAAATAAGAGATATAATCTACCAAACGGACCATGAAGGATAGTTGTCTCATTGGCAATCATACCACATCTCCTTTTAATTATATGGAAAAAAAAACTCATCAAAGATACCAGGCTTATATTTTTGTAAGCCAGACGCACATTTTGTCTACAAAAGACTCATAAGTAAATCTCGAATCAAAAAAAATAAAATGCCAAATAAAGTACGAAGTAGAGAAAGCATTGAGGACCAGAAATTCCGAAAGGTTTTGCTTAGAAGATCTATTTCTAAGGTAGAAAATCCGTAATATTTTGAACAGTTCAAATCATTGTTAACGGTTGATTTATTAATATTACCATATCAATGATTATTCAGGTCAACACATAAGTGCTAACTACTGGGCTGGCTCCATCAGCAGTGGCATAGACCCATTGGTTTAAAACAAACTCATCAAAGATACCAGGCTTATAACTTTGTAGGCCAGACGCACGTCTCGTCTTCAAAAGATTCATCATTTACGCTTGAATTAGAAACGTTTAAAAAGCTAAATAAAGTACGACGTTGAAAAGCATTAAGGACCAAAAAGGTTTTGTCAAATACAGTTAAGGTGATATATTCGATTCATAGAATATCATTATTATTTTGAATAAATAATATCAAAAGTCCATATCATAGATGATAACACTATAACAGAACAAATGAAAACAGTAGAAAGGAAAGACATGTTCAAACAACAGATAACACTTAAAACTAAATATTTAGTCATAAATATGTAACACGAAAACGCATGATGAGGCAAAAGACATCACTGAGACAATTAAACCCTTAAGTAGAAAATGAACAAACAACGCCTTGGCAAAAAAAGAAAAAGACCAACAGACAAACAACAATATACAAAACGCACCATAGAAAACTAAAGACTGAGCAACACGAAGCCCACCAAAAACCGGGGGTGATCCCACATTGGGCACCCGTTGTGTTAAAGTTGATCAGATAGTAGTATGCTCCTGAAGTACTCCTGTCAGATGTCAGTAACTATGCATTTTGCCTTTCATATAACCTTAACGTCTTTCCATTTCTTGCAATAAACGAAAAAGAAGCTGCAAATATGAAACCATTGTCTCAATTGAAATTTTTTCTTTATTAATGTTTAGAGATGAACAACAGTATTACTAAAATATTTAGATTGGCACAAGATGATATGTTCTTTAGAGGCATGTCTGGTAATCATAACTAACACCTGCATACTTCAAAATCATTATTTGTGTTAAATACTTAAAAATGACATGTATATAATGTCAATGACTGTATTAATGATCTATCAATACAATTAAGATTGAAGAGACATTGATAATATGTTCATTAATGAATTAGATTCAATAATTTTAAAAAGTAATTATTTATCTATATCACTCTTCCTAGAGCCAGAATAACAACTTTTGTCGTGCATATTCCTTGACCAGTAATAAATTAATGTTATAAAAATACAGATATTGCAGAGAAAAAGGGATAAAACATTCCAAATACATTAGTATTCAAATACCGTTGAAAGGCTTTTTTTAACGAAAATTAGATATTTTACGAGTAGACAAATTAGGGGTTGTTTTGTCCGCTTGAAGCAACAGTTGCTGAAGAGATTTTTTTAACTATGAAAAAAAAAAAATGAAAACAACACGTTATAAATTTCATGCATACGAATCGCTTTTCTTGATTTACCTTCATCAGGAACGCCCAAAGTCGAATATTGAAAGCCAAGGATATATAAGAACCACTGAAGAACTATGTGACCAAAAAGAACATATAACATAGCCAAAGTCATTTAAAGTCAGCTTTGACAAAATTAGCAGCTGACCATACTACATCGTTATTGGAGATAACCGTCTTTATACAAATCTCTGATTTTTCTTTCCAGATGCAAAAAGACTTGATTCAATTGAGGACGATTCGCTTCTAAATTTATTGTTGTTCAGGTTTTCTTCGTGATTTATGCAGATATAATATACAATTAGGAAACAATAATTTAGTAAAAAAGTAAAAGAATACAATCTTATTTTCTTGAGAGTTTATTACTTTACAATTCTATTTGAGCATGTTCAGCTCCAATTGGTATTGAAACATATACATGAATAAAATATATTAAACCATTAAATATAAAGCAGTTCACATTAAAGCTTCGACAAGGCTTTTATATGTTGTAATCGTTATAAAAAAGAAATCCGATTGAATGTGTTATTTTAACACCACAATTTACACATGATTCGTATACAATTTATTCTAAAGAGGTCATATCTACAGTTTGATGACATTACTTTTGTGTTCTTCTCTCGCAAGTCTTTCATTCATACTTCAACGACATCATGACATTTTCTCTTATACTGTAAATATGATAATAAGAAGATGTGGTATGATTGCAAATGAGACAGCTCCCCATCAAAGACCAAATTACATGGAAGTTAACAAATAAAAGTCACCGCCTTCAATAATGATCAAAACCCATACTGCATAGTCAGCTATAAAAGGCCCCAAAATGACAATTGTAAAACAATTCAAACGAGAAAACAAACAGCCTCATTTATGTACAAAACAATGAACGAAATACAAATATATGATATACAGCAACAAACGACAATCACTGCATTACAGGCTCCTGACTTGGGATAGGCACATACAGAATATGGTGGGGTTAAACGAGTTTGCGGGCGCCTAACCCTCCCCTATCCTGGGACAGTGGTGTAACAGCACACCATATAACTAAAGTATACCAATCAGTTGAAAAGGACTTAACTTATAATCTTAAACTTGTCGGCAAAATATTCTATATAGAAATAGTGTAGCTTCAATCAATTAAATGTTACATTTCCTGGTCGGCTTAATCTAGGTTTTATCACAGTACAGTATGGATGTATGGTTGCATGTACAACACGATGAAATACCTTTCAGAACAGATGTGTTTCTTAGTTTTAATTTAGTATTATACTTACCGTGCATTCATGTCGATATCTTTTTATTTGATATGTCCTAATATTTGTCAACTCTACAAGAGATATTATCAGTGTGCTTGTCAAGGTTATAACAGGGCTTATCCCACAAAGTGCAGATACTTCGTTCTGAATCTAACCCCAAATTTTGAATTTTCAAATTTGAGATAGCACTTCATTGTCCTTCTTTCAGCGGTATTTAAACCCTTGCTTCTGTTACATCGATATGACTCCTCCTGCACTATAGCCAACGCCCGTGGACATTCGGCTAAATAGACTTTATACTAATAAAGCTGCGAAATCGCAAATTTTCAGATTTTACAAGATATCATAGTCTTAACGTGACTTATCTTAACACCGAAAATGAAATTTAATCTATAATGTTACCAAGAGCCGAGGATGAATTACGAGGGGTTCTGGAAGTCGCATTAGTTCAATCTTTGTTTGTTACATCAGTCGTGGTACTTTTGATAGAATCCTTTGCTTCACATCGGTGAGAAAACTTACATACCATAGCAGATTGTTAGCTCTGTCACTTGCCTTACACTCATTCTAAAGTGCATAAACAGTTGGTAGCTGTTAATCGACTTTTGTGTTAGCATCCTTTTTATTATTATTATTCTTCCTACTTTCCCTTCCTCTTCTGCCGCTTTTAAATATAGAACTTGTCCAAATTAATGATTTTAGGACCAAACACTACAAAGTTCCAAGATTCTGAAATGACAAATTTGTGTTTGAATTTGTATGAATTCTGAAATTTTTTTAATCTAACAGTCTAAACATTGTCGGAATTCGTCTCACCACATTATCTACTGTTGTATGCCTTTTCAACAGTCCTTACTCTGTCTGAAAAGTCTACATACGTTTATGATGGAAAAAAGGATATGTGTTATCCATCCATGACACAGCGCTTTTATTGCTGTTCTTTTTCTCAAAGTCACAGTGAGGCCTTCAACACGGAGCTATAACAATATCACCTCATTCAAACCTTAATATGAGCCTAAGCACCGGTTTGAACGGAATTCTTTGCAAACTGCCGTTTACACCACAACTGTGAATTAGAGAACAAATCCATGGAGTAATATCAATGAAATAATCTGGCAAAGAAATCAAACACGTACTGTCATATGTAAGCCCGAAAATCACACTAAAGCGTGTAAAAATCAATACAGACATTTAGACAACATTTAGACAACCACGGGGCACATCTGGATGTATGTTAGAGTGTAATGAGTGTCTTATAAAAGAATTAGGAATAAATGAGCACTCAGATAATCTCACATATAAAAACATATCATTTTACAAGAATTAGATTTTGGCGAATCATAAGTTCTTCATGGCTTCAGTGAATATTACATTGAATAGCAAATCAAAGTACTTGCCTTGTTTGTATTGGACACCTAAGCTTCACAAAATTCCGTACAAATGACGGTACATTACCGGCTTATCTGCATGTTCTACAAAGGAATTGTCCATTATTTTGACAACAATTCACTCCGGAGTGAAAGAGGGTCTTCAGAAATAATGAAAAAACGGTTTACTCGCGTAGTGGTATTATCCATATGTGGATTCTAAAAAATCTCTAAAGAAATTCTAGATAATTTAAAATCTTAATCTTTCCCTATAATTAATTCTATCAAAACTTTTCATTTTTCAACCCTGTCTACCACCATTCCCCATGTGATATTGAAAAATCGTCTTAAAGAAATAATTCACAATGCTTTTCAATATAAAAATGGTAGCATACGCTGTAAATTTATTATTTTTGGATACCATACGGCATTATTTGTTAATAGTGAACAAAAAGGTAAAATATGCTACATGTGTCATAGATCAAACTTTTTCATTCAGTGTATGTTTACCTATTTTTTGTTTATATGTCTTTTTGATCAAGTTAAGCCATTTCAATTGCTATTTTATAGTGTGTCTTTTTAAGTTGTAATATTCCACTTCTGTTTCAGGTTAGGGTGAAGGTTGGCGCCTGTTAAAACGTTTAAACCCGCTGCATTTGTATGAACCTGCCTTAAGGCAGGAGCCTGTTGTTCAGTGTTTGTCGTTTGTTGGTGTAGTTTATAAGTGTTTTCTTTTCTCGTTTTTATAAAGATTAGACCGTTGGTTTTCCTGTATGAATTGTTTTACACTGGTCATTTTTTGGCCTTTATAGCTAGCTGTTCGGTGTGAGCCTAGGTTCGGTTTTAAAGTCCGTACTTTGACCTATAATTATTTACTTTTCACACATTGTGACTTGGATGGAGAGTTATCTCATTGGCACTCATACCACATCTTCTTATTTATATACACAAAGGAACAAGTGGTCAGTATGCTGGAGTTTCTTATTGACAACATATTTGTTGAATTTGGAGTAGACTATTTCAACAAATTGTCGGCATGCTTATTGGAACGAACTGTACGCCTCTCCTTGCCGACCTCTTTAAATGTTTGAAAGTGAAAAATTTATTGAAGCAAGGGGACCACACTATAGTCGATGTGCGTCTCATTAAACTTTTTTACACAAACTGACCTTTAATTGAGAAAATGATTTAGCACACATCAGAGAAGATTTCTCCAAACGTAGATACACCATAACTTAAAAAAACCATCAAAGCATACACCTCAAGCACGGGAAAAATGTCTGTACAAATCAAAACGAGAAATTACGTTTGAGGAGAAAATGAAGATTAAATAGATTAATGTTGTAAATCAAATAATAATAGACTGATAAATCCAGTTTATCGGTTCTGGTGCACTGGACATTAAGCAACTAACAAGGAATTAATCGGAACTGGTGCAGACTTTAAAGTCTGCAACTGAACAAGTTCGAACAAGAACATAATCATAAAGAAAGTTTTGAACCTTGTTACCACCAACCAGTACCATTAATCAATATTCAATATACAATTATATCTTTAATTACAAGAATCTACTAGCTAACACTATTCCCGGTTGTGACATTTGTACTGAGTGTTAATTTGCATGCTGGGGACTGCATAAATAGCGAGAGACGCTTTTCTGTCGACGCAGCCGGTCTGGCGTATTGAAGAGTTAATGTGATCCGTCATTTTTTGTTTGCTACCTTCATTCGTCTCTAAAGATTGATAAAATACTTTCGTATAAATTTTTACCAATATCATAATATCCTAAAACGAAGATTCTCAAATCGACATATTTTATTTTTCATATATACATAACATTCCTTGTACAACTGTTCACATTATTGCACGCATTTTCTATGTGTCTCTTTGAAATAAGAAAAAATCGTACTGATTATCAATTCTACCGTCTGAGATACTAAATACGTAATATAACGCTACTTTATTATAAAAAAAAAACATACAATAAAATTGATTTATCAACAAGCTGCTATATACACTACAATTTGAACTTTTCTTGACCTCTGTAATAATGAAAAAGAAAATAGCCATCCATTTACCCAGATATCTAGAATAGAATATCCAAATTCACCTGAGGTCAACTTCGACTGATTGAGTTGGAACCTTAGCTTAATAATTTCTAGTGTCATTTGTTTGTTTTACTCCATCTATGCAGTTGAAGGGCAAACGCCTAGACCTGAAAGATAGAGATTATTCTATCGTCACAAATAAAAACACATATGTAAATTGTTCACGCCCACAATCAGCGCAAAATTTGTTTTTTCGTCGTTGTCATTCAGAATGAATATGTAAACAATAGTTTGTGTTCAAAATGGCGGTTTTGTATGTTTATATATTTTTCATACACACAAACGCTGACACAATTGCGCGTGTTGATCATGTATATGTAAATGATTGTTTGTTTTTGGTATATTATTCAATGCCGTTATTATAATTTAAGATCTGCACGTGCTCATACATTAATGTTTGTTTTCTTCAAATGTACGTGGCTGTCCCTGCACACTTAGCAATAATCTTGCTTGTGATGTAATTGTTAATCAATAAATATAAAAATTTCATGACAATCCATCTATGAAATATTGTCTTAATATACACAATATTTATCCTTGGATAACTTCCTTTTAACAAGACAACATTTCATACTATTCATGAAATATTGTCTGTATATGAATAAAATTCCATATGGAAATTTGTCCTTCTCTGGACATTATTTCATAGATACGGGCAAAATTTCATATTACAAAGTCATGATATATATTGTCTCCGGGAGAATATTTCATAGGACTTTTTCTTGAGTAATTCTTTAATAAAAATACAGA